AATGCAAATTCCATTAGATAGACAGATAGATAGAGATAAATAGAGAGAGAGAGAGAGAGAGAGAGAGAGAGAGGGAGGGAGGGAGGGAGGGAAGAAGGAAGGAAACAGATTATATACATTTGCAGCTGTCCTGGGATTGGGAAGCTGTCATGGTATAAAGGTGAACTATATCACTATGCATGTCTGAAAAATGCTTAGTTTCCCCATAAGAAAATCTATTGATTATATTGATTAAATTATCAGATTATTCACAGAAATATGCATGGAATTCATCCTGAAGGAGCACAACATGGATGGGAAAGGGGAAAGACTTTTGTTGAGTAATACATGATAATTGTGCAATTAGTTTGTTTCTTTTCTAAATCCAGCTCTTCCTTCTAACCCATGTGTCCTAAAGGAAGTAGGTTTCAACATTAGAATAAAAATGAGAAAGGGAATTAATGCACAGTCTTCTAGGGAAAAGGGAGGGCAGAAGCAAAGAGCATGTAACAGTTTCCTGAAATATGTTATGGAAAATGTAAATGGTTGTGATGAAGAGTTGAATTATGGTATAATTTAAAATGTGAATTTCTGTGCGCAAAAATACTGCAGGAAGAGCTGTGCAAATGTTGACAGCTCTGGTCAATAAAGATGACCATATGTTCAACAAATGAAGAAATTGATCCTTGCAAACCTTCAGTAACGATTCAGTTAGTGGGGGATGTTTTGGTGCTGAAGACCATTACAGCCACCCATCAGTGTTAGGTACTTTAAAACTTATTTACTGCAGTTAAGTTTCTTGTGTGTGCCACTAGGTGTCCTCCATTGCAAAGTAAATGCTTGATTCTTCAATGCTGACAGCTGAAAAGTATCACAGAATTTGATTTTCTACAGTGTTCTTCATCATGATATCTCAAAGCTCATTACAATGTAATGACTATGGCACTGCTAGAGGTGCAGTGACTAGGCAACCACAGAAGCCATTAGAGCTTAACCGTATCTCTATAGACAGCCTCGTATTTTAAACCTCTTTGACACAGAAAGAGAATGGTGGGCAGGATCCCAACATTATCCCTTATTCTTTTTTGAAACATATGTGGAGATTTTTAATTTGGCTGACTAGGAAGCGGAGAAGGGGCCTGCTTCACTATCTCACCTGAAGGGCAAAAAGAAAGATGAGCCTGGAAGGGTTTTCTTTGCTGGACTCAGTCTTTGCCTAGATTATCTCCAGATACAATGGAAAATCATTTGGAAATCTGTGAAACTGATATCTGTACAGTATTAACTAGACCTAGTCATTCATCACTAATCATCTTATACTCCTGGGAGACAGATGGGCCAAACCCCAAACCCTGCCACCCAACTCCCTCACCCTGTGGCAGTATCTGAAATGCGATGTTGGCACTTGATTCAAATTTTGTATAGGAGTATTTTGTTTTAAAATGGATGCAACAAAAGCCCTCTTTGGCTCCAAATACCCTTCAATTTGAGTCGCTCTAAATAAAAATCTGGGAGTCAATTCTCCATGCAAAAGCTACAAGGGGTTGGGGAAAATTTCCCCCTCTTCAGTAGGAATATGGGGCTGATATAAACCCAGAACCTGGAGGATGCAAAAGTGGCATAAAGCCCTATCCCTCCAATCTGTGTCCCATGGAACTTTCTTCTGCTACTGCAGCACTGCTGAGCTGAGTCAGTTGTACAGAAAAGTGTTTCCACTTGTGCACCTACATTTTTCACATAGTGTGTTGTCAATGATTCAACAAGATATCCTGCTCTTCCCTGGAACAGCATGCCCCTAGATTAGTCAGTCCTGGATTAGCCTGGCTTTGAGCTGGAGAATCTGAATGTTGGGGTGGTGAAGGAGTCCCGCGTCCTCTGTGAGCTGGTGAGGCACAAAGGGAAGGACCCATGTGGGGGTTGTGGCCATCTAATTCAGGTATGGAAACCAGGTTTTTCTGGGCCTTGTTGGTGCAATTATTTTGGAGTGGTCCTTCTTGATCCTGTGAAGAACACAACTCAGCAGTGAAATCAGGGGAAGGCATACATCAGAGAGCTTCTCAT